TCCAACGCGTCGCTCCTCCTGCGCGGCGGCCCGGTGGGGCTCGGCGCGGCGCCTTCCACGTACAGCGGGTTCCGCGTGGTCAGCGGGTTCTCGTCCGACAAGAACGTCACGTTGCTCGCCGACTTGGGCAGGTTGGTGCTGAGCGAGCCATTGAGGTTGGACTGCTTGTGTGCCTCGATAGCGCGGGAGGCAAAGCTGCTTATAACCCGCTGCCGGTCTCCTTCTTCTAAGACTGACTTTTTTCCCCTGCTTTGTTGGAAATGGTAGAGAAGAAAAAGACTTGAAAGAAAAGAAGATAATCACGTGTAAGGAAGCATGCATGGACATAGAGGTTGTTTTTTTTAATGAGAAAAAAATAAAAATAATAATAAAAAAAGAGCTCATGGTATGGATCAGCGCCACAGCATCACTTCTAGCAAGCTACGACTAGCCAACGGGAAGACCATGGCTACTGGACTACTGGGCAAGACATTTACTTTCCTATCTTCTGTAGGGCAAAAGGACAGGAGGAGGAGGAGGAGGAGGAGTCAAAACAAGGCTTCAGCTATTCAGAAAGGTCAAAAATCGCCCCTTTCTATTTAGAAAAATAACCTTAAATTTCAGAAGTCGCAGCGACTTCTGCACCTTGCCTCTCCAGTGACACAGTTAGCGCTATGGGGGTTCTTCTGAGCTAATGTAGACAAATATGATCACTTCTCCAGCATCCCAATGGCAGCGGCGCTGGGCAGCCAACGCAGTATGCACATGAGGATTTTTAACTCAAGGAGCTCCCTGGGTCTTACACAACAACCATACAACCTCTAAGTGCGCCTTGCGCTGCCTTTTAAGGGCTTCGGGGCGCTCCCCAAATCAGAATCGCTCTCCGAGCAGACGTCAAGCCCGAAAATCCTGGCCCCGAGAGAAGTCCAGTATTCCTGGGTGTTCTCCTAAGACCCGTTTTCACAGCCAAAATTCTTCAGTGCCAAGCAAGGCACTGGGTTTTCACATATGATATTGATATTCATGCCAAAATAATACTTCTAATACCACAAATTAGTGATAATAAGCACTGTTTTAAAGACAACACCCCCCCAAAATAGCCTGGTAGCAATGTGCCCGGAATCCTTATTCTAAGTTACCTTCACCTGGAGTTGCAAATAAACTTATCATCTATACCTGTGATAAGTTTAAGATGCTGGCCAAGCCTGGAAACACCTGAAAAATAGGACCCTTCTCCCTGCAAAGATAGAAACACTCTCTGTATTTGCAACGAGGCTGAATCAAAACGTATTTTCATCATTGTCCTTCATAGATTTATTGCAACTACACATACGCGCTGCACAATACAGGGGCTAACTCTTTTTTTTTTTTTTAAAGAAGAAAGACTTTCACTACCTGTGTGCCGCACACTGAACGCTGTACTTAAAACCTTTGCCTCTATTTTCTGCAGTTAAGCAATTGTAGTTAAACCTCAGGATGGTAGTAGTGACACCTACACGCACACACACACAGAAATCCCAACAACATCCAAATGCCACTAAATCTATTTTCCCAACTTAGAGCAGTCCATGTTTTTCACGGCTGTTTGAGCCAAAAACTCCAGGTCTTTGTATTACCAAAATTCACTCTTATTCTTTTAAATTTGGAAAAAAATAAAGGGGCTAGGCATTATTAACAGAAGGATTAGGGGAAAAGCCAGCAACGTTTTCATTTACAGCATGAGCGTGGCAGGATGCAGCTCGAGGCCTCCCCATGAGGTCAGTCCAGTATTCAGATTTTCCTTAGTTTTTTTTCTGTCGTATCTCAAGAAGTTTTACTAAACTAGATGTAAATCATTGAAAACTTAACCTGTGGAGGTTAAATGCTTCCTAGCATGACTGAAGAGGCTGTTCACATATACTCAAGAGGAACTCTTTATCCCAGAGCAGCATCCCTTGGCCAAGCCTCCTCAGGCTGGAAAGGGGGTTGGATCTAGGGGTGAGAGAAATGAATGATGCTGAACTTGAAGGAAACCCTCCAGTAGAAAGCTCATGCAAGACGACATAACCTTTGTGCTACCGGAACGGATTATTTCAAAAGCTTGGCTTGGAAAAATAAAGTTAGTTATTTCCACACTTCATGCGAGGGATGAAGTTCTCCCGAAATATATGTGTATTTTTGTTTTGTTTGCATAGAGCTGTTTTAACCAAGGAGAAGCAATTGCTCCATAACCTGCAGCTGAAAACGTGCAAACTGAAAACGAACCTGCCCGGAAAGGAATCAGAAAGATCAGACAAGGAGAATTTTGCTCATACACAGTTGCAAGTTCTCAGTTCCAAGAACGGAAAGCAGACCTCAACGTGCCCTTGGGGTGTTTTCCAAGGACCTCGGGGCCTTAGAAATAATACCACTCAAGTTCAGCGATCATCCGGCATCTCTCCATCCTGCCACTGGGAAGAGAAGCGTACGGATATGGAGACTCCACAGTAAATGTCTTTCCTCTACAGGATTGATGGAGACAAAAAAGATGAGCTTGGATGGCCGGGTTTGATGGAAAGGGAGGGAGGGAAGGAAAATCAGCTGGTGTTTCTAGTAGCTACGAACATCGAGACAATGAAATGAGCTTACTTACTGATGCCTATGTATCCAAAGACAGAGAGGAACAAAAATGATGAGACAAGGAAGATTTAAAAACAAAACTTTCCATTTCACCTGCCGTAAACACCAAAAAGAGAAAACAAGAGCCAAGGCAGAACCACAAATGAAGGCAAACTGTCTTCAGACAACTCAAGGGAGGTAAGAGTCTACTAAAATTCACAATGTTAAAGAAGTAACTTCCCAAAGACCAGTGCCATCAGGACACTAGTGCCTTACAAACCAAACAGTTGTCAGAAGTTTGATAATTCAAAGATATTCTTAATGGAGCCTGCTGTTTTTCATTAAAGCCCTAAAGGATATTCATTTAAAGGATTTTTAATGATACATGTTTGCCTGGGGATGGTAACAGCCAAAAGCACTGATATCGAAGACAGTGTGTTCCAGGTGTGGCAGCTGTTTTGGTGGGTGAAAATTATGTTTGCTGTCGAAACGGTCACAGCTGGAAGCGCTCGTTCTTCAAAGCCAACACTGCAAATATGTACATTTACACTTGTAGCTTGCTGTATTCAACCAAAGTTTTCTTTGCAGATTCCAACTCAGCCCCATGAGGTTCGTTCTGGGTTTAGCATAAGACTAGAGGTGAACCTGCAGCCGCTTGTCCAATGGGACATCCCCTTCCCACTGGCAACCCGCTTTATGTAACTTCTACTAAAATTAGAAGCCATTCATCAACTTTGGTTGGAATTTACACTATTTCAAAAGAAACGGCAACTTTCCCCAGCCACATATTTTGCTTTATATGCATGATCCCACGCGGTCCCTGACCAGAAGTGCTCACATTCAAAATACTGTTCTACATGCATAGAGTCATTATGGTTGGAAAAGACTTTCAAGATCATCAAGACCAATTCCTGGGAAATGTGCCCTTTTCCTCCCTTCTCACTCAAAGGCACTGGAGGAAAACAAGGTCCTGGAATCTATTCCTGCTTCAGTGCTGACCCCGGAGCTCCCGTGCGTAGGGGAACTCGAGGCGACTCACTGCAACGCAGAGTCTGCGTTCATATCAGGCCAAGGGAGCCCCTTAACGCCCAGCCTGCAAAACTTCAGCTCCCTGAGCAAAATAAAGCATGACTGAGCACAAGTTGGGCAATCCTCAAAGCCATCAAGAGAGCCCTCCTGTCCTCTACCTCCAAACATCTTCTAAATACTACGCTCCCGAGTGCTGCTTGGTTTTGAAACGAAACACAAGACGAACAAGCGTGGCACGCTTATAAGCAAAAAAAAACACCCAGCATGGTATAAATTAATTGACTATTCTCCTGCAATATTCTCATACTGAGAGTTAAATTGTTGTTGGAGTCTGTAAGCTTCTGATTCCCAGACAGATAAAGACGTAAAGGCAGCTCTGCAATATATTTTACGAGCCTATAATAAGTAAATGATGTATTCATTGACCTACTGGTGCTATTTCTTTTTTCTGGTTTAATAGTTCTTTCATGTTTGATTTCAGTATTCAAACGGTTTCAAATGTAAAACAAAAAGAAAATCCTAATTTATCCCACAGAGCATTCTGTACTCTAGCAAATGGGAGCTGGGAGCAGCTCATCCTGGTGGAAGCTCTTGCTCTGGAGAAGACATCAAGCCAGAGCATAGCCACCACATCGTGCTCATGGCATGTTTTTCGGTCACGCTAAAACCCGCTAAAGATTGCCCTGGGCACCAAAAGGAGCCCGTGGGAGGAGGTGATTTCTTGCTCCCTCCCCTTGGCTTCTGCTGGGACAGGGCTCAAGGTGGAGCGAAGAGGCTCAAGCGACAGGTGAAACCTCCCACCATGGGGACGGGCCAGAGCGAGAGGTGCCCAGAAGGCGCCGCCAGCGGCGCGGCACGAGCCGTACTTACATGGTGCTGTCGCCCAGCTCTTCGTAGAGGTTGTTGGCGGCCGCGCTCACCGGCTTGCCCGCCGGCAAGGCCATCTGGATACGCGCGGTCTTGGCGCATTCCGCCTGGCGCCTTCGGGAAGGAGGTGGACACGGTTAGAAACGGCCCAGAAGCAGACTAAGCCCAGGCACAAAATTTCATTTTCCATTTGGTTTTCCGGTTTTTGTGCAATTTCCACATGAGTTCTGCTATCCACCTGCTTTCCTCTCTGCCCAACATCAATTCCTGATCCTGCCCCCAAAGCCACCTTCATGCTCGGATGTGCCCTTGGTTGCTTGGGGAAGACCATGCACACTAAAATACTTCTTTTTTAGCTCTATAGGACACAAGCTACGTCCTGTATCCCGAGATCCTTCTTGTGGGTTAGCCCACAATAGGAAAACACAAAGTAGCTGCAAAAGGGACTTAAAAATTGAGACGTGCAAAATGACAGGAACAAGCTGGAGTATAAGAAGTAATTACTTATGGCATTTCAAGCAGTCTTTCCTCTTAAAAAGTAGTCTTAGGCAAGAAGCAAAGCTGGAAGACGATACTTACTCTTTGAATCTGTTTTGTCATGCGAAACGGAAAAAAGAGATAAAAAGGAAGGTTAAAT